CATCCCAGTCCCAAAAAGCTCTACAGTGACTGGTCTGAATGACTATCGGCCAGTGGCCCTCACCCCGATAGTCGCTAAATGCTTCGAAAAACTGGTCATGACTCACATCAAAACAACCATCAACATCAACGAGGACCCTCATCAGTATGCATACCGTGAGAACCGATCAACAGAGGATGCCATCTCCTCTGTGGTCCACACTGCACTCAACCACCTGGAGCAGAAAAACTCTTACGTCCGTATGCTCTTTGTGGACTTCACATCTGCCTTCAACACCATGATCCCCCAAACCCTGATGGACAAACTATCCACACTAGGACTAAGCCCCTCCATCTGCAACTGGGTACTAGACTTTTTAGGCTGTGAGTTCAAGTCAATTCAGTTTCTTGTAAAAAATAAAAATAAACATATAAAAACTTGTTGTGCTGCATAGCGAAGCATTTAGCTGCACAGGAAATAAAATAATATTTCAGATCAAACAACTTTCATTCAGCTTTATTCAAAACTGATTTAGAAATTTCGCTCTTTTGACAAATGTTTAGTTCAAATTGTTCTGCCTTTTACGTTTACGTTGAGCTTAATTAGTATTTTTAGGTGAAAAATGAATGGTTCCGACAAAAAAGGGTTTGGAGAACCATTGCGAACCATCCAGGTTAAACAACTGCAACTAGAACAAAATTAAACAACCACATGAATAATAAGCATAGAGCCATATCCAGGACTGTAATGAAATAATTTAAGAACAACACATTCATCTTTTCATCTGACAGGCTTGTCTGTGTTCATGCCAAATGCACATTAGTCATCTGCATCCAATTATTTCTTATGTAGGAAGCCCTGCCTTCGGTGTGCATCGGCTGCTGCCTGCTTACCTGCTGCTTAGCAACGTGGATGCTGCCTTTCAGTACAATCGCTCTTTGATAAAACCCAATAAAAAAGTTGGTTTTATTGAGCAACCAAACCTCTGACAAGAAGAAAACAAGTGAAGAGATGTTTAGTTGGTTTTGTTTGTCATTAATAAAGAAGAGATGAAACAGCTAACACTCAATGATGGCTCAAGTAATTCATTCAGCGTTTTGAAATTCTGCCCACGTGCAGCATGATAAATAAAGAAAGTGAATCCTTTGACATCTTTGCAGCCAGTTGATGTCCCAGTCTTAACTGGGCAGCGGAGTCTGAAGTGGATTCATATCAGAGGGCAGGGTCGGAGTGATGAGTCAGCTATGGCTCAGAGGGTTGGGATATATTACACCTATCATTTCAGCGGGAGAGCAAAGGAAGAGCTGCACAAAAAGCTGTGGGTGTAAAAAAAATGTTTGTCCTTATAAAAGAGGGAAAGAAAGTGTCAGCAGAGAAGATGTCAAACACTGAGTAAATAGTTCCCTTCAGTGCAACCAGCACCGCAGTTAGTCCTGTTTCCTGTTTGGGTTCCTTCATTTCTGCGTTTTGTCATGTCTGTAAGTGACACTAAACTGTAGAGAGAAAAAAGATGAAATCTCTAAAGACTTCTATTTGGGCGTATAAAATGTGA